AGTATCATTCGCTGATAAGGCACAAAACACATGGAAAAGTGCAATTGTCCTTCACTTTTTTTGGCACTAAAAAAAATTCAAAAGATTGTTGTTTACTGTTAAGTTTGAATAATAATAATAGCAAAGGTGGTAAATCAAAATTTTTTGGATGAAGAAAATCTTTGCTCAAGTTATTTTGTTAAAAGCATATTTCTGTGTTCAAATTTAGTAATATAATCGATTGAAAATATACTAAAAGAAAACAAGATACTACGTTTACTCACATTTCAGATAAATGCTGTTCCACAGTTGCATTTTTTAATTCGCCATAGACGTAGTTGGCAACTTTTCCATTCTTCTTTATTTTTGGCTGTCCTCATCCATATAATTCCATTTAGCCGTTCACCTTACACCCCAATTATGAATTTTTGCTTTTTCCTCTGTATTCTTTTAATAATGATACGATACATTTATGTATCAAACAACCCATGCTTGCCACGGTTTAAAAAAAAGAAAAAAACATAGTAAAGGATTGATGCATAGTTTGAAATATCATGTGCAAATATTGCTTCAAGGAAAAGTTACAGCTTAAAGTAAAATTGTGTGCAAATTTTGAGGTTTCAGTAATGTTGTGATTTCGGTCCTGTTTATATTTAGCTGTTCATGTGGAACTTTTCGCCTCCAACCATGGAACTTTTCTTTGTTTCGATCCCAACTTCAGTGCTTTTGGAAAAACTGAATCACTGAATGTAATTTTGAATGTTTAGGCATCAGTCAGTGGCACAGCAAGTGTGGAACCACCACCAATTACAGTGCATTTCAAGATCAATCAGCTTGCCGTTTCTGGGCTGAAAGTGAATCGTTTGGACATGTATGGCGAGAAATATAAGCCATTCAAAGGTGTCAAATATATCACCAAAGCTGGGAGATTTCAAGTGCGCACCTAATTTATGCTTTTACAGTGCTGAAGCTGGAAAAATGAAGCGGTCACTTCTCATTAACTGGAAGTTATGTGGGGAAAAAAAGTAAAAAAAAAAAAAAAACTAAGGAGCCAAATCAAGCCGTAGACTAGGGTCCAGAGAGCGCAAAATTTGATCAGTAGTAAGCTGAGGAGCGAAAAGAGTACTAATTTTCTACACTGAGACCAGAATTCAGTCAAAAAAGTGCTAAACCTCATCAAAACAGTAAATGGACCAGCTTAAGAGAACTAAATTTAGCGCTACAGCCCGCCGAAAATACTGCATTTCAACGACTGGGGCATAGAAGAAGTACCAGCGCATTATCCTTTTTCAGGATGGGGAGAGTGCCGTGATAAGTGTGCGCCAAAACTGGGGCTTTCGTTGTTTTCGAAAACCGCAAACATTCCTGAATGTGCAGTTCGGATTGCAATTTTTGATCAAACACTTAAAATTTGGTGCCATTGACCAAAGAACTGAGTTTTTATGACTTGAAAATGGGCTTATTCGTTCATATGTACTTTTTTGAGGGCAAAAATCGTTTTGTTAACTTGTACAGCGGGGGAAAAAGACGTAATTTATCACGAAAATATTTTGGTGTTTTTCAGCTGTATATTTGGCAATTTTCCCAGTTTCTTCGATCACTTTTGCATGGTCTAGTAATCTGCTGCTCATATGATACTTGTAGCAAGTAGCAAGTAGCTGGTGGATCAAAATTCTTCTTTCTGTTGATATCAGGTTCTACTAGCTGTGGGGTTGTATTTTATGCTGAATGCAAGGCTCGATCTCCAGATATTATGTCACCAACCAAGCGCTTTCATTCATGCAAGACAAGCCCAGTATTCACAGCGCTATCAAGGAGCTGAAAGGTCAGATCCAGTCGTAAAAGCTATCAGACCAAAAGCCACAGTATCTCAACTCAAGATTGGACAGAAACCTTTTTGTTGATCTCCCTGTAAGATGCATATTGAGTGAACGAAATCAGGATACCTGTACATTAGAAATTTGTTGGCCTCAGGAATATCGCGACAGCGAAGCTTTCTCGACTGTTGCATGGCAGGCAGATTTTTGGAAAATTCCGTGAGAGGTTAAAGGGCCAGATGATGTAGTCATTGATCGGGATGTAGTCATTATTTTGAATCCAACCGCGTAACTGGTAGACAAGAGCGAGTAGATTGTAGATTCTTGGTTCCCAAATTATGTTATTCTGAATTTTGCCATAAAACTGATCTGGTTTCTTGAAGCGAACAAAAAATAATTGGTCAGCGCACGGGCTGCCTATGCGAAGATACGTTTTTTGCATAGTTCCCCGCAGTTTTTGTCGCTGCCGGCACCTGTTTTTCCGGCAAATGCTTCTAGCTAAACAAATTAAGACTGGCCGCCAGAATTGTCAGGAAACACCCCTTAAAATTTCAGCTTTCTAGCTTTCCTGGCTCCTGAGTTAGTAACTTACTGGAAAAAATTTTCACGG